AGTATAAAAACAATGGCGCAAGACTCAATTTATCCGATTCAAAAGGATTACTTTCCCCGAATACTACGATGACCCCTTGCCGATTACATTATCAGGAACAAAAAGAATGATTCCGAATTGAAATCTATGGTTTCTAAGTTTATTATTAACTTCTCTGTAACAAAAATATAATGATTTGTCCCTTTTAACAACTATAACACAAACTTCTTTATATCTTAACTGCTATGAATGATGACCTAACACATTGTTTTTTATCTTAGAAAATCCTTCATATTGCTGCACAATTTTATATCTTAAACTTATCAATATTTTCATAAATTAGTCCGAGAAAATGAGCTAGATTAAAGGTTTTCAAAAATTTTGTAGTATTTTTTTTTCTCTTTAGCTTTCACTTTTTCTGGTAAGCTGCTTCAACATCTCTCTCCACTTTATGTTATTCATACAATCTCTTTTATCTAATTTATACTTCTTTATATTGGCTCTAACTTTATGCCCCCATTGAAGTTTTGGCCTTCTTCTTTTACGTTTGCCCATCACTTCCAAACTCTCAACCTTATTTCCTATGTAGTTCATAGGCCTTTTCATTGTGTGCCCATACCACCTAAGTCTGTTTACCATTAACTTAGTCTTAATGGGCACTACCTTTAAACTACTTAGTATTCTTGTACTGCGCACTTTATCCTTTCTTGTTACCCCAGCAATCATCTTCAGCATTCATCTCCATAGTTTGTAGACTTCTCTCGTCTGATTCTTTGGTTGGCCATGTTTCCGAACTATATAGAATAGTTGGTTGTACTATGGAACTGTAAATTTTTCCCTTTAATTTGTGTCAGATTCTTTTGTCAAATAGCACTCCAGATAAAGATCTCCACTTTAACCACCCTTGATTAATTTTACTCTTTATCTCTTTTTCTATTGTGCCGTTTGTTTGTATAGTGGAGCCCAAATATTTGCAGCTTTCAATTGCCTATATCTGCCATTCATTTATATCAATACTCTCTGTTTCATCTCCTCCTATCACCATATACTCCGTCTTTCTCTAAATTTTAGTCCGTGCTTTTCTAGGATATATATCCAACTCATTAATCTTTCTTTCATTTCATCCTTGGATTCGGCAAGTATCACAATATCATCTGCAAATATCATATTCCACGGGACTGTTTGAGGTATAGACTGTGCTAATACATCTATTATTGTAATGAAGAGAAGTGGGCTGAGAGCCGACCCTTGATGAATTCCTTCGGCTATTGTGAAGCCTGCTGAAGTACCTGTTGTGCTACGGACCATTGTTGTATGGCCCATATACATATTCTGTATTATTCTTATATATTTTTCGAGAACCTTTTTATGGCGTAATAAGTTTATTTGGGATTCTATCGAAGGCCTTTTCTATATCGAGAAAGACCATGTGTAGCTTTTAGTTCTTTTCCCTGTATTTTTCACTCATTTGCTTAATTGTGTGGATAGCATTAGTTGTTGATCTTCCAGGCATAGAGCCAAACTGAGTCTCTCCTATTTCGATTATGTCTCTTAATCTTTTTTCTTTTATTTTTTCGTATAGTTTTAGACAGTGTGACATTAGTTTTATGCCCCTGTAATTTTGACAATTGTGTGGATCCCTTTATTTTTGAAGATAGGAACTAGATAGCTCTGCCTCCATTTTTGGTCCAAGTATTTTATTGTACAGATTTGTGAGGAGATGTATTCCATCATCTCCTAGTGCTTTAAGGCTTTCTATAAGAATATTGTCTGGACCCCTAGCTTTGTTGTTTTTCATATGCTTGAGGCATGTGATTATTTCTTGTTCTGTTATAGGTACAAGGTTTTGACATGGGGAGTGTTCGTCTAGATGTAGTATGTGGGGATTAAAGTTGAGAAGCTCCTGAAAATATTCTTTCCATCTATTCATTATTTCCTTTTCCTTTATTATCAATTTTCAATCTTTATTCTTGATTACTTTCGGAGCTCCGTTTATATCCTTAGAATTCTTTTCTCGCTGTATGGCTAATCTGTATATTTTATTTTGCCCTTCTTTGGTATGTAGTTCTTCATACATGTCATTGTATGCCATAGATTTGGCCCTAGCCACCGCCTTTGTAGCTAATCTCTTGGATTTTTTGTATCTTGTCTTGTCATCTGGGTTTTTGGATTTGTACAATATTTTATAAAGGGCTTTTTTCTCCTCTATCGTGGTTTGTACCTCTTCATTCCACCACCATAGTTCCTTGTATGATTTATTATCTCCCCTTGTCAAGCCTAGTGTCGATTTGGCAGTGTCTATTAATCTGGATGAAAGGTCTGTCCACATTTTTTCACTGACTTGTGAGGAATCTATTGTTTCAATGTTTGCATTGATTGCAAAGTTATCTGTCATTGTTTTTAATTTGCCCCATTTTATGCATGGTTCCAGTTTTATCTTGTTTTGAGTGGATTTATTTGAGATGTGTAAATCCATGACTATTAGCTTTGCAGTCTATTACATCTTTTAATCTTCTGCGAGAGATTAGCATGTAATCTATGTGTGTTTTCCTTGTACCACTTTCGTATGTTATTAGATGACTGTTTTTTTTTCTATAATAGGTTTTGGTTAGGGCAAGGTCGAAGGCTTGCGCAAATTTCAGTATATGCTCTCCTTCATCATTTCTTTCTCCATATCCAAAGCCACCATGATGCCTTTTGTAGCTATCTCTTGCTTTCCCCACATGCGCATTTAAGTCACCACCAATTATGACTAGGTCATCCTTAGGGATTTCCATTACAGCTTCATCAAGGATAGCTCTAAAGTCATCTTTCTCTTCTTCCTTTCAACCCGTTTGAGGAGCATATACTGAAAGGATGTGTAGTATTGATTGACCAATGCAGAGTTTTATCTTCATTAGTCTATCAGAGATCCCGTTGACTTCTACTACTGAGGAGGTTATATCTTGACTGAGGATGATGCCGACACCGTTCCTATTGCTAACAATTCCATTATAGTACAATTTATACCCATCTCCAATCATCAAAGTCTTCTGTCCCTTCCATTTCGTCTCTTGTATGCATGCTATATCAACTTTTCTCTTGTTCAACATTGATGCCAATTCTCTCGTCTTACCTTTAAGCGTCCCAATATTCAAACTTGCTAATCTTGTCTTCTTTGCTTTACTTTACTTTTCACAGGATGGAGGTCTACACCCTGCGCCTCGCTTGGAGGGAACGCCCTAGCTTTCATATTTATATTTCCATTTGTTTCCTTCATTTTGTTTATTGAACAGGTATCCTTAGCACCCGGCTGTCCAGGCCTGTCGGTGACCGGGGTGTCATCTCTAAGCTCTGAAATTCATCTTACCATATGTCTTAACACATCAGTCATTTTTCTACTTACCAGGATTGAACCAGCGTCCTTCTGTTTCCAAGCATACATCTAACCCATTAGGCCACCTCGGCGATAAAAATTTTGTAGTAATTTACTTCTAACTTTTTCTCCTTAATCGTTATTAATTTCTTTATATTATAAATCTCCATCTTTCTTTTTCTATATTTTAACCAAGTATTGACTTTTATTTTCTAAAATCACTTTAAAATATAACCAATACGACTATATCTAACTTATAATTCTTTGCTATATTCTTACATTATTTTGAAATTTCTGCATTCGATTGTTTTAAGCATAATAGGAGAACCTGATATTACAACTCTTTGTTCCCCTGATAGCATTTGAATTGCATAATGAAGTTTTAAAGATCCTCTTTTTAAGTTCAAATTTAATCCGGTACCAATGTAACAAATGGTCCTTTAATCATTCATTGAAAATGTTGTGATAAATTATATTTAAATGTTTATATTTTTCATATTCTGAGGCGATATTTTCAATATTATAATGTTTAATTAAAAGTTTATATTATTAATGCTCTGAGGCGATATTTTGTTATTTTACTTTTTTTTACACATTGTTTTTGATTGTTATATAATAAGAAAAAGAAAATTACTGTTTTAAAAGATTATTATCATTAAAATTATGATTTCCCAAAAAAATTTATAATAAAAAATAAAAAGTATAAAAATTAAATTATCAAAAAAATAAAAGAAAAAAAATATATATAATCCATAAATTAAAAAAAAAAAAATAACTAAAAATTTGTTAAAACGTTATAAAAACTCTTCAATTTTATCGCCTATGCATATAATTTAAATAAATTATTTAACAAAAATTCGCAAAAACGAATTTATATGATTTTGAGATTCTCATGCTTTGACTCAAATCATTCTAATATTAACATATACTTAATTGAGGATTACTACAAAATGACCCTTTTTATCACTTTTAATACATTTTTGACTCAAATCAATGAACGATTTGTGATTTATCAAATGGCTAAATATAATTTACAAATATTATATTATCTAGAATTTGTCTGAGGCTATATTAAATTTTTTTGTTAATAAAAAAAAATATTTAGCGCAATTTTAATATTTTAGAAATTATATCTTAGTATAAAAAATTAATTTTCGTATAAGAGATTTAATCCCATAGAACAACCTATTGAAAAATTGACGCAATAGTATAAAAAATTAAATTTCCTTTTATGAAGGATATTTTAATTAACTTTTTAAACATATGATAATGTTTAATTCTATATTTTATTGTGATTTACTTTATATAGCGGTTTATATAGTTATATTATATATTCGCTTTACTATTTGTGTTATAAATTGTCTTTTTATAAATATGATTGGTTATAATAAATTTTATATAATGAATTCTAATAAATTTTTAATGTTCCAAAAAATCATTCCTATATAAAATAGAAAAATTCCTGGCTACGCCTGTTGCTGTCATTATGACTACCAACATCATTGTTTATTCTTATAAATAAATAAAATTTGTTGTCGAAATATTAAAAAATAGATAATTTTTTGAAATAAAATTTTATTAAATTTAAAAATTAAATTTTTTGCATAATTGCCAAATTAAAAGGTTAATAATTTTTTAAATTTAAAAAATAACTTTTTAATTATATATTTTTTTAAAACATAATTGTAAAATTAAAAAGATTTTTAACCTGTTAGATTTTTTAATTAATTATATATAATAAAATAATTTAAATCAATGATGTCTCAATTAAAGAATATTCAATCTCTTCTAGTCGTGAGTTTCTTATTGGTATGTGTCATAATATGGTCATCACATAATGTTCATGGAGGCATCTCCAGTGAAACATCTTTTAATACTAGTAAGCCGAAATATATATATACTAAATTTTTTTGATATAATGCCCTTTTTTCTAGATGTAAAAAATTGCTATTTTAAAAAACCATCAATAAATTTTTAAATTTATTTTAGATATTTTTATTTTGCTAATTTTAGATAGATTTTGTTGCTAAAGATATAATTTACTTCTAATTTTCTAAAAAACAAATAATTTGAAGTTTTTTGGATATACTAAATCTTTTCCGCTTTGAAGATTACTTTTTTCCCCTTAATTACTCAGAATTAAAACTACTTAAAGTAATTTTTACTGAATTCCAAAAAGATGATTTTGCTAAGTAAAAATTTTAATTTTCTCAGAATTGAATTTCACAGAAAATATAATAAATCGCACAGTAAACTTTACTATTTCTTTTATTTTTAAGTGCATTGATTTTTTGAGTTTTAAAATATTACTCTATGTCTTAATAACTCGGAAAATTGATTAAAAAAAAAAATTTAAATACTTAGCAAAATCTTCTATGATTTTTAAAAATAATCTGAGATCAGCAAAAATTCTTAGCTTTCAGTATTTTTTAACTTTCCTTTACCCTGGTCTTTGTTTAGCCATTTTATGCAGAGTGTGAGGAAAAAGATAATGTCACATTTCATATCATTAATCACTAAAGTAATTTCACTCTTTATTATTTTGTAGGTGTAGGATTGGGCTACACATTTATTTATAATTTCTTCTATTTAGCTATTGTTTAAAATTTTTGAATACACTAAACATTTTACTACGGACTCTTCTACTATTGGGTCAAAAAAGTTTGGTGTCCATGGAAGCGCCTCGTCCTTAATATAAAAATTTATTTTATTCAAATGACAATAGAGTCTTCACAACTACCTATCCTCTTCAAATTTCCATGGTGATCTTGTATCATAAACCACCCCCCCCCCCCCCATCCGGTAGTAAAATCCATAGGATTTGCCATAACAACTTTCTCAATATTTCAAAATGAATATTCATGTTTTATTTAGGTGAATGTTCAAAGAATTTCCCAAACTCAACTTTATATTTAAGCCCTGGTGAAGTATGGAAATCTGCTCAACCGTGTATGAAATGTATGTGCTCTTTGAGAGGTCTTGAAATGACTATGGAATGCCACACGTATATATCGCAAAATTTTTTAATATTTGTCAGGAAGGGGGAGGAAGGAAGGAAGAAATATTTTTTCTCTTATATGTATATTCTTTTTTATAAAATTTTTATATTTTAAGGTGTGCAAGTTTTTCATCATCCTGTTTTACTGTTGACGATACAGCTTTATATCCAGATTGTTGTCCACGCCCCTGCCGCATCATGCCATCAAATAATAATACCATTTAAAATTTTGTATAATTTCCCACAAAATTTTACGAATTATGGCAACAAATTATTTAGATTTATATAAATATTATTATTAATCTATTTTTCTGGAAGGGGGGGGAGGGTTTGAAAAATTCCGAAAATATTAAAAATTAGTGATCATAATAAATTTTAGATTTATAAAATAATTAAATGGTGATTCTAAAATTGTAATAAATGGTGATAAATTTATCAATATATTTATATTATATTATAAAAAAAATTGAATAAATTTGAAAATGTTGACTTTATTTTTTATTTTTATTGATTTTATTTCGCTTTCCTTCTTTCTTCTTTCGTGGCCAAAAATAATTATTTTATTAAAGATAAGCGAAAAAACATCTAAAAAATATGGCATCACGTAAAAGAATTCGAGGAAGACGTGATCAATAATGTAATTTAATTGGAAGAGTTTGGTTGGTGTTATTTCAGGGAATAGTGATACCTTAAAAAAAAATAAGTAATGATAAATAAAATTTAAGTTACACATTAAATTAAACCCAATATACAAAATGAAGGTATATGTTATTTAACCTAAATTTTGCGCATGCCTAATTCACAATATGTTTGTTTTGGCTAAATCCCGGACATATGAACCCAGACAAGAATACCTCAGGACAAATGGAGACATTCAAAAACGCCCTTGACAAAAAGACACCGGACACCAATTTTTATAAATTTTTTAAATGTTTAGTAATGGGGGGGGGGGACTTAATAATTTATTCTACACGGCTCTAAGCTAAGTACCTGTCAGATTTTCCGAAAGTAGTTAGTTGGATATACAATAAAATTACTATTTATCCTTATCTAATATAAATATTAACCCCTATGTGGCCTATCCAGGATTTTCTTATGGGTGGGAAAAAAATTTTTGGGGACTTCGCCCCCAACCCCCCCCCCCCCCCTTATCTGGCTTTCGGCCAGGTCTTATGTTTTAGCTATTCTAATAAATTATTCATAATTTAATAATAATTATATTTTTAACTATTATTTACTAATTTGTGCATATGGATATTAAAAGCCTATTTTTTATTATTTTAAGTTAGGTTTTAATAAAGTTTTTTAAATGTAAAGTTGAAATAAAGTTTGATGTCATTTTTATAAAATTTGCTTTAAAAACTAACCTCAGCTTAAATTCTCAGACAATATAAGTAGAATATAATTTTTTTATTGAAAATACTAATAGTAATGTGTATAAAATATTGACTGGAAAATAATTTAAAAAACAAGTTTTTTTTAACTTCTTATCAAATACAATATTATACAAATTTCATTAAATACTATAATAATGTGATTTTTAATTTTCGTGGGAATGTTGCCAATTCATCAAGAATTTTTTGTCGTTAGAGAACCAAATCTCTGTGGATATTTAACAGAGCTAACCCATTTAGCCGAGATTCGGAATTAGTACTTCGTAAATATGTTTTCAACCTTCTCAAGTTGGAAAAAGTCCTTTCATTCGTACATGTTATAATAGGCAAATGCAAGAATATAAAATAATTTCAAAATATTAGGAAATTGAGCCATTACACCGATTGAGCCCATCAATAGCTTGCTCAGGTAAAATAGCTAAACGTAGTAAATATTTATACCACAATTCGAATTCACTGATTAAATTTATTTCAGTATCAATATCATAGGAATAAAATTATGCTAAATATTTTATTTTACCAATAGTGGCATTAGAAAACGAAGAAGGATCTTTAGGTGAAGATTGCTAAAGACTTGTTTTTTATCTAAAACCGTACTTTTATTTGCGATAAAATGTATCTAAGAATGGGATGAAAATGGATATTTTATAATATTCATAATATTCAGTTGAGCCAATATTTATTTTACATCTCAATAATTGCCTAGGTGCTAGATGAGGTTTAATTAGTGTTATATCATAAAATTTAGCCTTCGATTCAACGTCTAGATAAATATTATGAAAATATTCATCTACATTTATTCGTATCTACCTGTTCATATATATTTTCCGCCAAATCAATAACCTGAACTATCTAAATTTGGGTTTTTGTAAATTTCTACAAAGTAGTGAGCTATAGGAAAATAATTTATTGATGCAACTAGCAGCAATGATAAACTCTGATTGATCAATTGAATTCAATAATGATATCGCTTCTTACGACACATTATTTTTTTCCATGCTCAGCTTTATTTAACTTTTGTATTTCTATTTCTTCTGTTCTACAAATGGAAGTAAAAATGAAAAATATTTAAAAAATTATAGATATTTATTAATAATTAAAATATTATTTAAAATATTTATTAATTCTAACTCACTAATAATTTCGAATTTAATAAAATAACTATATATAATAATATAAATTACCGTTTGATTTCAATTTTGACTTAAAATTTATCCATTTTATTAATATTTTTGAATAATGTTAACTCAAGGAAAGGAAATTTTAATTAATTTTTTTATAAAAAATAAGTTTTATGTTGGAAAATTGATATTCAAATAGGGGAGACCAGGTCTAGTCGGCGCAATTTTTGTCAAAATCATCATAGCTCCGAAAATAATTATCATATAGAATCTTATAAAATACCAATCGATACCTTAAACATCTATCTATTAATATATGCTGTTATATTTTTTAAATATCGAATATTTTTTTCTCTAAAAAAGTTTTAGTAAAAGTCATTTTTTGAACCTAGTAGCCCCAAACCCGTGGTTAGTCGGTTTATCGATGGGGCTAGTCGAATCAAGTGGTTTATTAGGCTTCCTATGAGACAAAAAAATTTTTTTTAGATTTTAATATATAACTATAATTCTTTATTTATATAATGTTCTATTTACAATTATAACAAATACAATAACAATCTTTTTTGGCACAGGATCCATGCGCCCAACCTTTACATACTCTACATTGAAACCAATGTTCAAAATTATGGAAATTTTTATAATCCTGTTAACAAATAATACATACATCTTTGATTAATTTTTTAACAATATTTTTTTTTGGTTTTTTATTCTTCTCTTTTAAAAGAACTTCCCTCTTGAATAAGGATGAGGTCAAGATCGCGGCCTTTTTTTTTCTTATTACTTTATTTTGCGAATTATGAGAAATAGAGATCGGTATAGATGATGGGCCTGGGAGATTAATGTTTGAAGGGATAGGAAGATTAATAGAAGTAAATGAGGGGCTAGGAATAGAAGGAAAAATTTTGGGAAGAGAATCGATTGATGAGCTAGGAATAGACATAACTGAGGAATCTGAAAGATGGTTTCCAAGACTTTCTCCTCATAAAAACGAATTTGATGAAGGAATAAAATCCTCCTCCTGATAAATATTTTCATTTATGGGTATATTCCACAAGATTCAAATCCCTTTTGAATATTTCTTGAGGAGGCTGCCAAAGGTAAAATATCCTTTATAATAGAGGGAATATCATAAAGGGAAAAAGAGATCACGATGATTTCGCATCCACGAATCTATGCCATTATTATAAAATTTTTTTAAAAGTTCATATACTGTCTACCAGCCATTTTATTAATTGTATGATTTGGTATTTTTTTGTTTAATTGAATTGCATGATAATAAGCTTGAATCTTTATCTAATGTATAAATATTTAAATAATAATATTATAATTTTTTTAATACCTTTTTAACGGATAATCCATAGAAGGTCTTACTACTGGTAATAAGGTAATCAACAATTTTATTTTCTTCATCATCATCAAAAAATTTTTGTTTATTATTTTGGCCTATCTTGGGCATAGTTCCAGAAATTTTATATTTTTTATAGCATCTTAAAAAATTTGTTGTTTTATTGGGGGGGGGGGGGGGTAAAACTTTTATTAGCTTAAAATGATATTTATGAAAAGAGTCAAATTTGCAATGGGGGGGCCTTCCCCCCTCCTCATTGGTTACTCGCCTGACCCCTATTTTTTGTTGCATAGAATAAAAATTATTAATTGAAGGTTATAAAAAGGATATAATTAATGTATATATTATCTTCATTATCTATATCTATATTATAATTTTCCGATGTCCTCACTACGTAATCGTGACGTCATGTCATCGCTACGTTGTCATCGGTACGTATTTATTTTTATATTTTTTATTTGTTGATTTTATTTATTTATTTTAAACAAACGGATGATCCTACCAACAGTCTTAATTTATTTTTAAATAGATTATATTTTTTATTATTTTTAGCGATTATTACTTTTAGCGATTTATCACATTTGATTTTGCAAAAATGGATAGAAATTTATAAATAATAATGCTTGGATGATGGTTCAACAAGTTAATCATTTTCCTTGAATTCCTGAAATCGGAGTGCCAGTAATTTAAAAAAATTCTCCAAATGAACAGGCTGAAGGCTATGGATCATACAAGTATATTGTAAATCTTCAGGCAACTAATCCTTATAATTGCCTTATTCACTTATATCTGTTTGTTTTCTGAAGTTTAAATATTTAAATAAGAATATTAAATTAAGTTAATTATACTAAATGTTTTATCTACTTTATAAATTTAGAATAAGAATCTTTAATTAAGTTAAGGCGTTGTGTAAATTTAATCAAGAAAGTGTTAATTAAAAAATAGGAAATTTGAATGCTGGTTGATCTTATGTGGTTCAAAAACATTATGACCAATGTAAACTGGGTTACTCTTTAACACATACTTTCACTAAGTATCACTAAATATCACAGAATTTCAAGCAACTACTTGATATAAATTGCCTTATTCAATCACATTTCCCTGTTTTGGAAATTTTAAATATTTGAATAAGTCTATTAAATTGTGTTAAATTAAACTGAATATCTCATCACATTTTCCTGGTTTAAAAATTTTAAATATTTGAATAAGTTTATTAAATTGTGTTAAACTAGACTGAATGTCTCATCTATCTCATAAATTAGATTATGAATTATTAAAATTAAGCCAAACTGTTGTGTAACTAAAATTAATAAATTGATGACTAATAATGATACAATTTAGGATGCTGTATGTTTTTAATTAACACAATGGATTCATTTACGGCTACATAGACTTTTATACTACTGAGGAATTTAAATAATAAATGTTGCTTTTTCTCAACCTTATCTTCCAATACAATCTCCAAAGGAAATGAACGAAGGAAATGAATAAAGAGTGCACTCTTATCTTAAAATAGAAAATTCTAAACTTAATAAGGAAATACTTATCTAGGTTAAAATATTATATCTGAAAACAGATAAATTTAAACGTAACGTAGGAATGTAAATAGTTTTATTCTTCCTTTTCCTCCAATTTAAATTATTTATTTTTGGGGCCATTTCTATAAATGTTCACAAAATAAATCACCCATATCTTATTTTGTTTCATTCGCATGACTTTTGCGCACAAATAAATATAAAATAATATTTAAGAATATATCTATAAACAAACATAAAATCTGGGCTTGAAAAATATTTTTATAAATTATATTGGGCTAGGCTTGGGGAAAATTATGAGCTTGGACATTTGATAATTTTTTTTATTATTAACTATGGGTCAGACATTGGCCTAAAATAAGTTATTTTGCAGACCTGGGCTCGAACTGATCAAAAAACCAAGGCCCATGAAAATCTGTCAACTACCAAAATTATTATGATCTTTCATTCAGCTTGGATGAATTTTTCAAAGTTATTATGACTTTGTACTTTACCTGGGAATTTTTTTTAATATTAAATATTATGTATAAAATGATCAGTAAATTTGACATATTGGTATTATCAATTAAAAGCTTTAATTTTATTCTTACTCAAACCATTGTATTTAGTCTTAGTTTTAATGGATTGAACCTGGCCTGAAGGGGGAGGAGGTAAAAAGAATAAAATTGGATATTTTTCAAATAACAGGTAACATCTAGCATAAATATAAGAAAAAAATTCTCATTCCCCGTCATTTTTGCTATCTACTAGTTTTATAAATTTTCGATTTATATAATGTACTTGTGTTGTTGGAATACTCTAAACAATAACCAATGTATATGACCGGATATATTGAACTATTATTTCCTCCCAGAAGTCGGGATTGTGTTCATCTTTATTAATTTTTCGATAAAAATTTTCACAAAAATTTGATTTTTTATTTAGTGAGGCATAAGCCTTTTTCGAGAATGAAAGATTCAAGGTTTGGGTTCTCGGCTCTGATATAGATTCGTCCATTTGATTCTTATTTCCAAAATTGCATTTTGCCAATGCAATCCTTGCAAAATTGTTTATTCTTGCAATGAGAAATTAGATTTCTTACTTTATCCCTATCAGTGACCTGCAAATATACCAATTAATGGCCCGCCCCTGCTTTGAAAATTTCCGACGGTGGTTAATTTTTTAAATATGTTTTATTTATTTTTAATTTTTATAGATAACAATGGCAATTAAAAATGTTTGGCTCTTCCATGTTTAGGACTGGCTCGGATATTTCATAAAAAAATTTTAAGACCAGCTCGGCCCGAGTATATTTTAAAAAAACATAGTTTGAAATATTATCCTGGTTGGGAAGTCAAAATATTATTGTTAAATTAACTCCTCCTCAACAAGTTATTTACATACTACTAATAGAGATTCATTAATTAAAGTTTACATCCATAGGAGTTTTTGTAGTTTGCTCCTTGAAAAAATGTCTTATTTATCATTATGTGAATCATAGGCGTAGCCAAGGGGAGAAGGGCAAGGGAAACCCCCCCCCCTTTAGATATTTATCGCTTTTTATAAATACACCCTTAGTCCTCCCCCCTCCCTGATCCTCAAAAATGTGTGCATATATCTTAAACAATAATTTGAAAGAAAGAATGTAAAAGTTGATATTTTTTTATAAAACTATTCATCATAATTTATACATTTTTAGAAAAAAACATTTATATATATAAAAAGTGAACCAAAAATGTTTTTTAATAAATGGAATATAAGCCAAAGATAAGACTAAAGTGAAATGTATTATAATTATTAATAATAGATCTATAAAATTACTAAATAATATAATATATCAAATATAATTTTTTACAAAGTGAGTAATATTAATTTATTTATCTTAATAAAATTAAAATATAATTATAAAACTATTGATAAAATTATATCATAAATTAAATAAAAAAAATTAAAGCACAATACAAACAGTGGGATATTATATGTCGTAGATTTACAGTATATCTAATTTTATTAATTATCATATGACAATCAAGTAATTTTTACCAATACAGCGAATTATATATTTTACAGAAAACTATAAAATATTGATAAGGACATCAGAAATATCTTTTAAACACATTGTGGGATGAATAATATGAAAATTAATTTTTAATGTTATTTTTAATAAATTTAATCAAATTTAAAGAACGTTAAGTAGTTTAATGAGTTTAGTTGGCTAATTGTTGGCAGATGCCTCACTGAGCCTTATAGTTCATATAATTAAAAAAACAAACCTTTTAAAGGGCTTAGAGTTCGGTTATTAATTTCGTTCAAAAATTGCGAAACAATATGCATTTTATAAATGGATTAGAGATTGATTACGATTTTCCTCATTTAGACCCAATAAAAATAGGATTTAATGATGAAAAGACGTTATTGTGTTGTATCACCTTAAGATCTATTCATATTTATTTTTCTGATGTAAATAATTTGTTCTTAAATTGTCATAAAATTTATTTATATAGCCATTTGTAGAATTGGTTAATTTTTATTTAGATAAAGATTCATTAAGATTATATGGGCATTTTAAATCATTTTTATGGCAAAAAGGATCAAAGCATATAATAACATTGGTAAATTTTAATATGTGAAAAATTAATTATACCACTATTTTACTAGTCAAATCATGGATATATTCTATTTTTTAGTGTTCAGGCAAATTATGAAAATATACAAAACTTTTTTGCTCTTAAATCCAGAAGGTTTATATAATCTAATATAATTATTTACAAAATTTGATAGTGATAATGCAATTAGACATGGTTTTATTATGTCAAATCTACCTCAAATATCTTTGTTTTCCCTTCCAAATTTTACTTTTATAGATCAACAAATAACATCGTAGATTATTTTAATGAAATCTTATACAATTTATTATAAAAAGCTTAAATGATTATTTTGATCAGATAATTGTGGCTACAATTGATGGATATCTACAATTTTATGAATGGCCATCATTTAATTCCTCATCAGTTACAGTTTCCTTTAAATTTAATATCAATGAACTTATCCATAATCGTGAAAGTATTATTATGACATTAGCAAAATATTTTAAAATTAATTTTAATATAACTCTGTTATGCTTAATAATATATGATACCCTCATAAAATATAGGTGCATATGCCATATAATTTTTGGAAAAGGAGGTGGGGGGGGGGCTGAGGTTAGATATAAATAAACACATTACACATTTTTTTGATGAGAATTGAAATAATAGTGAAAATAATATCCAAGGATTATTTTTCTGAGCACTAAATGTCAGACCAAGTTTCAATTAGTGCTTCTTAGAACTCTTTAATCTTTACAGTGTTGAAAATAAATACTTCACTTCTACACTATTAATAAGATTAATGACAGTCATCTCAATAAAGTGAGTATTTTAGGTAATCTTTGTTGATAACATATTTTGATTGATTTGACAAAGTTATGCACAATTCTATTAGATTATAAATATAAAGGGAAACAATTTATTAATATTATTTTTATCTAAACAATTTATAATTCTGAGAAAGGATATGGGAAATTTATATTACTGTGCATTTAATCTAAGCTGTTATTTTTTTAAAATATGATGTTATAAATATATTTATTAGTAATATTTACAACATTTAAAGATATTAGAGATTATGAAAAATACTATATTATTTTATTTTAGATTTTGAATCTCAATTTCATTCTCTTCAAGCAGAGAGAGAATAATGCTGAGATTCTTCATTATAAAGGAAGATATAGCATTCCAATTTTATTGATTATTCATAAAAAAATTTAAAACATTATTTACTATAAGTTTTTACCTTTTAGGTAAATGATATAAAAATTTTGTTTCTTTTAACTGATAAATTTGATATTGAGATAATAATGTGAGGGCTTAAATGTTCTAATATATTAATGGTAAAATAAATTAATTACATCATTAAAATATTTTGGTAAATACATGGTATGCAAATCAAAAGAACACCACCCTAAATTTGTGAATCAAATAGATCTCCATCTAAATTTACAAATATTTTGGATAAATTGAAAGTTCGTTGCATCAAAAAATTCAAATCCTCATATTTCACAAAGATTAGATCCCTATGACAGGAATTTCTAATATTGATTGAAACTAATCGTGATATCATATATAAATCTAAGAATATTCAAACCTCAGCAAAATATAGGCTTGAATTTGCAAGAGATTTGAGATGCGTGGAAAATCCATTGACCAAAAATAATCATTCATTAGTAGTATTACTCTTCCCGAATGGAATTGATTCCCCAAAAAGAATCATTTTATTAATACTCACAATAGAAAATTCATTTTTATTTGTTCATTTTATAATGTGCATTTAATACCTTTAATCTGCCATTTTTAATGAAAAGGCCTTTGTTGACATGGGCATGAAAACCCCAAATAAACCAAAGAACATGGACGAATTAAAATGGATGCAGATAATTTTCAGTGTTTAAAACAGATTTGAGCCGCGGTACTTAAATGTAAAAAAAAATGTAATACGAAAGCCAGACCCTTTGGACTGTTTTATTAGAAGCCCTCCGATTCCAATAAACATTTTTGAATAATTCACTTAGTGTTGTCAAAAGCCTCAAAATTTTCGCCAAATAATTATTACATACACCTCGAGATTTTGGTATATAGATGGCGGAATGGCTTGTCCCTTTTTTGGCCAAATCTCAAGGAGGCAATTTTATTTTGGCTAAAATCTTGATTTAGCACTTTTTTTCTGTAATATAGGTTTTCCACCATGCTTGAGCTTATTATACAATATAAATATTAAATAAACGTCATAAGCCTGCCGTGCTTTCAAAAATTATTTGTAAACTTGCTTTTTAATCCGTCATTCTAATATGATTTAGAAGGTAGAGATCATTGAATTCAGTATTATTGCCGATCACAGGGAGATATATATAACTTTTGGCAAGGTACTTATTATCCTCCTTTGATTTTAGCCCTCCCCCAACAATTTTTGCAGAGGCTAGTACGGACGGGGTTGGTATATTTGTAAAACAAAAAATTAAAATAATAGTTTTGATTTTAAATAGTACTTATAAAAGTATATTTAGTATATAATAAATAAAATTTTTGTGTATATATAAAAAATTAATATTATACTTTAAAGATAAACTACATTTTCTCAAGAGGAAGAGGGACCAAACCCCCCCCCCCCCCTCTTCTCCGCTTAATTAAATCCGCCATTTATAAAGATTTAAATAATTTGTATAGAAAGTAAAACTGATCTCTACGTCATTGATATTGATCATTCGTGGATAATGTTAGGATTCGCCATTGTATTGTCTGACGGAAGGTCCGGGTATATTCCGCATTCTCAGGATCGATTTTCTACGGTTACTTATAATATACCTTAATTGATAATTTAAATTTTGTTTTAAATATAAATGTAGGAAGATATAAAATGGTATTTTGCGCAAAATATTAAAAACGCGGTCAGCTGTTGTTTAAATCCTCGCCTAATGCTCATTGCCTTTGGAACTAAATCGTAACTATTTTTTAAATTTATTTTAAACACGTTTTACCCTGCATTCTCAGTTAAGTGCGAATTCGCGGTGAAGTATACTATGATATAAATATAATATGTTTACATTCTTTTTTATATACTTCGCCACTAATTCTCGCTACTTTGAATGCAGAGTTAATATAGACAAAAAATATTTTAAGGAACATTATCTTTTAAACCTATCAGCGCCATAACTATAAAATTTCGCTATGAGGACGCTCAAGCAGCGTCTATTTACAGAAAAACTTGGAGTCAAACCCCTATCAAAAGCCTACCACTATCCTACTGTTACCCGCGATATTTTTTATATAAATATTATCCTAAATAATTTATTAACTATTTATGACCTCCGTCTAACAAAATCATAAACAAAATTATTTGAGGCATCATAATTTAGAATTGGAATAACAAATAAACATTGGATAGGGGATAATCGACTGGTTGTTAATTAACCAATAGTCCCGAGCATGAATAAAGTCAAACTATGAAAATATTATCTTTGAGGTGAATATTAATCTAATTCAATATTGAAATCTAAATAAGATATCTATCAATAAATTAGGATCCTTTTGCCAATTATATTGCCCTTTAATCTACGAATATTGTCTATATTTACATTAGCCAACCATCCTTGAATGAAAATTAGAAATAGCTCTTAATCCTTTCTCTCATGTGGACGCTGCTCTCAGGATAATAAAATCATATTAGTTTAATATATAAATTTTATAATGGAGGAGTGAGGGGGCGGGGGGAAGGTGTAATTTTTCAGACATAGGAATTTTTTAATTATTGGAACTATATAATTTTGCATTCATAAATTAATTAATTTTTTTTTACAAAATTAGGCAGGCCATCCATCTTTTTACTTACGAATCTTTGGACGCTGACAAAAACAGCATAGGGTCACACGCATTGAAACCTTTTAAATCTTTTGATTATTCAATCACAGATATATTATATCATAATATGGCGGCATTCGAATATATAGGTAAATCAACCTGAGATTGAGATTAATAGTTACCCCTCATTTATAGTTAACGCGAATTCATGGTGGAGAATAGAAAAATACATCATATTTTGTTTGCTTCGCCGCGAATTCGCTTTAACTAGGAATGCAGGGTTTAATAATTTTAAAAGTTATTATTTCTTTTTTTCTTGTTTTTTTTTACCAAATTCAAAATAATATTTTTAAGGATTGAGGCATATTTAAGTTGTTAAAAATTCATAGCTGTTTGTTTAAATGAATTTTTATTTTATATAGTTAAACTGAGGTTAGATATGAGCCAGGGATACTCGCCCAGGCTATTTCGGCCATTCAAGGCCTCGAAACTAATTTTCCGACGACATCTAATTTTTCCCAATATTCATTAAGACTCTTTATCTCTACTCCTCAATGGCTATCTATTTTTTTTATAAATTAGTCAATGGTATTTGTAATTCATATCATAAATATGGGTGTAATTTTTCATGAATTTACTATTTTATTTATAGATTTTCTACTTTAGTTAGACAGCTCTTAAATATATATAGAAATAAGCATATATATTGTAAATGTATTTTTAAATAGTATTAATCAAAATAATAGATTGAAATTCAAAATATTATATCAAAATTTTAATTCCCGGAGTTGGCCCATTTTAATTTTACGGAGAATCCAATATTAACGACCTAGATCAATTTTTTATGTATGAATTGTCTGTCCCCGGCCCGTTAATTTTATGTTCGAATTGCCATGCTCATTATAATTTTTAGAAATGCCCGGCAGACCGGGCGATCCGGGTTCTGCAGATTTATAAAATGAGTAATCAGCTCAGACCATGTCGGATTTTTGATATATTTTACGCTTTGCATATTACAAGATGGTTGCAAAAGATATAAAAATCGAATGAATGCTTTAAATGATCTATCAAGTTATTTTTCAACTCGTTAATTGTTATAAATTCTAAAAAAAAATTAATAAATCGACCCAACCCGGGTTTGTAATTTATTTTTTAGGCATGGTTCGTTTTAAAATCATAATTGTCGGCTGAACATGGCTAGACTTTGATCGGACCAAAGGGCCCTTCAATTTAAAAGAAAAAATAAGCCATTTAAAAATATCTATTATACCAATTAATTAGTTGGAAAACCATATTATGGAGGACCGTTTAATATTCATTTATTGCCATATTTTCGGGTTCTTCTTTAAAATAATTGTAAAACACATCCAAAATTATTCAAAATTTTTAAAAATCCAAGCAAAAATAAATTATCATATTTTCAAATTCGGGCTCTGCAGATCTCCTGATATATATAAAGAAGAATGTTTCAATGTAAATTTAATATATTAATTAAGAGGATCGCCAGTTCAAATCGCCTAAGCAATCCACACAATACCAATTTAGTACGGACCTAAAATTGACATTCACGGAGGATGGCCTGGTCCTGTTCGTGCAACACGCCAACAATTATATAAAGGCCTTTTCGGTTTTCGGTTATTACTTATTCGGAATCCCAAATATGACTGACGAAGGGACGGATAGTACAGGGTATGTTGAACTTTTTTTTAAAAAAAAAAATCTCTTGATTTATTATGGTTATTTTATAATGATTTAAATGTCTCCATATTATTCTCATTGATGTTAAAATAATGAGATAATAAATTTAGGGACCGAATGGAAACTATTTAATTTATCTGCCAAAATCGGTCCGGATAGAGTGATCTGAACCAGTTCTGGCTGACCTTCACTCTAAATAATGGTACACTAGGTTAGTCATATTGAAAAAAATCAGGATTTAATTGAAAAGAAATACCAAGGTTTGTATAATTTGGAGGTATAAACGTAGAAAAGGACCCCCCCCCCCCACCACCTAGAATACTTAAGTAACCTAACCAACAAATGTATGATCGGGTAAATGATAGAAAAGTTTGGGGGGGGGCAGGAATTAAGGGATAATAAAATATCACTTTATTGATTAATTAATTTTTGGTTAATGAAAAAAGTATACACATTAAAACTTGAAATCATAATATACTATATATATTGAAAAAATTTAGAGTTATATTTTATTTTGTAATAACAAATAAATAATAATATCTAATTTTCCTATTTTTTTTTAGCTTTCTATCATCCAATCCATCCTTGATCTGCCACACTTTAGGACTTCAAGATTACAGTTTATGGGTTTTGATGTCCTCGCCTTTCCCTTCAAATACGAAAAACTTTTCTGATTCATTCGATAACGCCCTCAAAACGCCTAAGAATACCGCAGAAATAATCACGCCAAGAGCAAAATCGGTCATCAAAAAGTTTGAATTACTCAAATCCATATGCATTCACAATCCATCCTCTTCCCATAGTCGCAAACACGTCATAGTTTTACAAAGCGAGAGTTGCCTTTACATCGGGTCCCCTCTTTTCTACAATGTGAACAAATTCAAAGAGCGTATCTTTAAAGTCAAGGACAAAATTTATAACGGAGTCAATGAATGCCACGGCGAATATTTTTCCAATATCAGGGATTTGGTACAGATTCAGGTTTTTTTTTAAATTAAATTATTTTTCATAATTTTTCTAAAATCGACAATAGTGTTGTTAAATGGCTCGATGATTTTTAAAAACGGCTTAAATCAAGATTTTAGTCAGAAAAATATTGCCTTGGATTTAAGATTTCGCTAATAGATGTCCAAACCTTTATGTCATCTATGAGCAAAATCATCACGCTTGCGTTATATCTTTTCGAATCGAAGAGTTAGCCGTTTTAAAAAAATCGGCTCAAATCGAGCCGTTTAACAACACTAATCGACAAAATATGGATTATATCTCGATAGTTGCTAGTATTTGTATTGATATATTATCTATTTAAAATATTGGTGTCCTAGTATCAAAATTCTGTAGACGTAAAATTTTAAGGGCCCTCTCCAGATTTTTTATCCTTAACCCCGCCCAGATTTTAAAACTAGTGATAAAAATTATCATGTTACCTTGTCCATGTTTTATAAAGTAGGTTGTATATTGTTGAAAATGTAAATTAATGTAAAATGTTCATAATAATTTTTTTTTTCCACTTGGTTAATTTTATTTTATTTATTTTTTTAAAAAATTGATCAGACCCAGGACTTACCCTGAAATTTTAAAATTATATCATTTTATGGCTCGTTAAGCCGGGCCTTGGAAGTAGTCTGTTTTTCGTTAAGTTAACACGTAAAGTTATTATTTTTTGCATGAAATATTAAAAATTTCAAAATTTTTTACACTGAATCTTATTTTAGCAATTATTCATATACAAAAAAAAATCGCAGATTGCCCTTTAAAAGATATATATATTTATTTAGTATCTTAGTTGGCTTTCACGAATAAGTCTATACATATTTGGGATATTTAAAGATACTAAATTAGCATTATACTCGTTACATTTTTATATTTATTAAAAGGTACCTATCAGTTATCTCAATCATAATAAACCCATAAAGGTACATTTTTTTTAGAAAAAAAAACTTATTTCCATCATCCTTTTTTAGTGTTGAAAATTTTAGTCAAAATAATATTACATAATTCTGGAGATTTTGCTTGAATGTGATAGAAAGGTTTTGGCCTCTATTTGCCAAATCTTGAGGCTTTTAAAATCTTAATCGTGCTTTTTTTAAAAATCGACCCACTATTCCTTTTTAAACAAAAGATTCGGAATCTCTTAATTTTATATCATATATTAAGGGCGATTTTTAAATTTGGGAAATATATTTTTACCAGAAATGTATTAAAGCAAATGTAGAATAACTACCCTACAAATTTTAGACAATTTTCGGTATTAAATTTTTGTGTATTATGAAAAATCGATATAATAAATATAAAGCTAAGTGTGGTTCAAAGGTTTACGGCAAAATAACTCTTAAATTAACAGTGTTTAAAAATCGTCTTCAGTGAAATGATTTAAAATTAATCGATTCCGAATTTCCCGTGGATATATATTTTTTTAGATGACTGCCATAGATAAAAGTGGACAAGGAATAGCTATCGCGGGTAAGAACGGATTTTTGCATTACAACACATTGACCAGAAAATGGAAGATGTTCGGGAATGAGTCGCAAGTATGGGGAAACATTTTTATTTTCTATTCCTTATTGAATGGTCTTTTGAATGCTCGGTTTACATTTTATAATATATATTTGAATGATGATGATATTGATATTTTTTTTAAAAAAATTAATATTTTATGTATACACCACCCACTCATTAATGCAATTTTTTTTATATAGAAATTAACACTTTTTTCCAAATTTCGGATATATACTTTAAATGAGATTATTCTTAGGTCTGAGGTCACACTTATTTGACTAAGTTCTCGCGCTATCATTTATTTTGACCTTATTTGAATTTTTATTTTATATAAATTAAATTTTTTTAAAATGGTAAAAAAAATTAAATGTTCGAGAAACATAAATTAAAAAATATGAACAAAAGTATAATGGGGAAAAAAAATTAATTTCAAAAATTTGACCTGTTGCCACGAATTTATCACGTTTAAATTTGTTATATCTAATATTAACAGGAACGACAATTTTCTATTTACGGCGGACTAGTATGGTGGAAAGAATTTATTTTTTTGGCTTGTCTAAACACCGAAACCAAAAACTATGAGGTATACAAATTCATCATATTAATTTTATTTCTTCGGAGATCTTTGCACAAATTAGAACCGCGCATGAACCGGTCTGAATTGAATCAAAGTCGGCTTCGACCGAAGTCGGGTGACTGGTCGGACCCGGATAGTCATTTTCTCTAATTCCGACCTTGATTTTAAAATTATTTCTAACCGGAGTCGGAATCTCGACAATTTTTTAGATTATTTTGTTCTAATATTTTGTTAAACATTTTAGTTTTCTTCAACGCTTAGAATTTTTTCCGCTTCGTTGAAATATCCTACTTCCTTTTTTTTTAACACTCCAATAAAAAATGAAATTTCAGGATTTTTATCTTCAGTGTTTCGGGCCTTTCTCTAATTTTTTTTTCTCGAATCGGGTTTGATTTGCTGAAATGAAAACTCCAGTTAATGCATAAAGAAAGAAAGGAAGAAAGGCGTCTATATTAAATTCGAATATAATTTATTACATTTTTTAATTTAATTCGTTAAATTGGGGGAAAATACAGTTAAGAGCCTATCCTCAATCAACCAAACTAGATAATGCCAACCTGGCAGCCAAGTACGAAATTCCATCGGCTCCCAATCCATTATCCATATACCACATGGACGTTTACAATGATTTTGTAGGGGCAGCTTTCTCGAATTGCACTATAGCTATGTATTATATTGAACCTAATGATGATATTAATTCCTCCAAATCTCAGCAGCCCCATATCAAAAGTAAAAAAATTTAAACATGATACATAAATATTTTTAAATTTATATTTTTTTATAAAATTTGTTATTTTTTCGCTCCTTCTAAATTATCAATAAATATTTTTACAGCTAGTTTGAAAAAGAAATCTAGTTTTTTTGCTTAAAATTTTGAGAAAATTTTTTTGATAAGTAAGATTTTTTACATAAAAATCACAAAAGTTTTACTTATAAAAAGATTTGAAATTTTAGGAAAAATTTGTTCAAAACTTTTGTTTAAACACTCACAAAAAATTCTTCAAAGATCAAAAGTCTGAAGATTTTTTGAAGAGCATTTCAAACTAAAATAAATAATAATTATTTTTTCTATATAAAATTGTGGAATTCTTTAATTTCTTATTATTAAAAGCTCTTTCCCTAATCAATATAAATGTCATCGATATATCGGCCATAAGTCCTCACCCGTTTTGCATTTTATCCTTTGCTCTTACATTCTTTAGCATTGACTCAGGTATTTCAACAAAATATCACTAATATAAAAAACAAATTACTTTACAACTTATTAATTTCATCATTAATTTTTATAGCAAACCTTATCTAAAATATTATTTATTTTTTTGTTAATCGGCATCCTAACCCACTCATAATGTTTAAAAGAGTATTATTGTTACTCATAATTTTCTAAAAATTTTTTAACCCAACCTTAAGTTTTATCAAAAACCAAGCCGCATAACAAACGCATCAGCGAGATTCCAAAACCTAATAGCAATATGGTCAACGCCGAAAATATTAATAAACAAACGATTTTACCACCAAATATAATAATGAACGTTTGCGGGGATTTGATATGCTTGCAAAGACACAAAAAGCGTTCGGCGTCGTTTAGCCTTACATCTGGGGATATTGTACCTACATCAACTAGAAAAGTTTGTTTTTTTTTGCATTTTTTTAAAAATGCCTTTATGAAAAATAGAATATTTTTCGAATTTTTTTGAAGTGAATATTATGAATTAAGTTAGGATATCGGGTTAGGAGGGGTTCATCTAAACTAATATTTTATATATGTACAATTCTTGAAAGCTTGACAAGAAGCACAGTCTAAAAGGTTCCGATAACCAACAAAGTTCAATTCTATCTCTTGCCTTCGTCAATCCGGACAAAGATAACACCCAAACCGTCATAAACGAGAACCCTTACGATTATTCCGTGTCCCTGATCGCCAACGGGGTCGAAATATTTTGGGTTCACGATTTGAAGGAGGGCAAAAGTAGTCCTGGAAGCGTGAACGATCACGATTTCCTAAATTCGAACAACTGTGACCTTAAAACGAAAGACCATGACAAGGATAAAATGAATGTCCAGCCTTACCTTTTAGATACTATTTGGCTTTTCAGAGGCTCTGACGGTCTTAAAGTAATTTTTTAAACATTAATTTTTTACGCTTATAAAAATATGAAACGTGGCATCACAATTCGCTACCTATTATCTTTTAAAGCATGCTAAAATAGTATCGTACTTTTTCAAAAAACGAATTCATTTTCGTTTGTCAATGATCAACGACATTCAAAATTTATTTGTAAAAAAAAAAGGAACGCGTTCAAATTTGAGTGAAAGCGTTTGCGTTCATCCATATCTTAAAAATATATTTTTTTAAATATACATTTAATAATTAGCATAACATAATAACACCCGTTGGAATTAGTATTATGATTTAACCCTTTACCACATGATGTTTGCAATAAGTTAGAAAAAATTCTCAGGTATTCCCTTTGACATGTTAATCGATAATTGATCAAAAAAAAATTTTTTTATTTTTCTATTTCTTTTATTTTGACCATAATAATGTATGTTACATATAAGTCACAAATTGTATTTAACAAACAATTTATTGTATTTTATATATTGGTATGAAATAAAATAAAACAGTTTTTATTTGCATGGAAACATAGTGCACATTGGCATTTCGAGCATTTTACATGTGTAACGCCTTTACATAGTGGATTTTTGCACCTTTGACGATTATTCATCCACTCTGGGAAATGTCCAATTTGATCCGTGCGAATATCTGTGGACGGTACTAAAGACATAGGCCCCCTTCTTTTTTTATCTAAATGAAAATATTATAAAATAATTAAATAAATAATCACTTTCTATTAAATTTTCGACCATAGAAGAAGGACGTCCACGTTTCAATTCTATTGTAGCTTCAACTTGACACATTGTTGTGGCTACTTCTTGACGAAATTCCGATAGAGAAAAAAACAGAATTGTCATCTGATTTGGCTTTCTCACATTGAATACGCCGATATAATAACCAGGAATTTACAACTGCTATATCAATAAGGTGTTGGAAGACTCTTATATACCACTTTTTAGATCTGGTTGTATTATGGTATCTTCCAATATTGCTGTCTAACAAATCAACCCCTCCCATATGTTTGTTATATTGTTTGACAAGCATGGGACAAGCTATATTTAGTCTTTTCTTGGTTTTGCGGTCATATCGTTCAATTTGACTCTGGGGTAATTTCCCGTACAATGTTGACAAAAAGGTTACCGTTTTATTATCTTTCCATACTAAGGAAGTTATATCTACCCCTTCAATATTTGCCATATATTCAAAGGATGACCCTCTGATCTCTTTTTTCATTTCGATCTCTGTAGGAAGCTTACAATTTGGGATTCTATTCCTCCTTACTGTAGTACCAAGACTGTATATACCTATAAATATACTTAAAATATTAAATATATAATAGATTTCTTATACCTTTTTTTGCCAAATATATCAAAAGGTTAATTGAGGTGTAGTAATTGTCAAAATATAGCTTAAAATTTTGATTTATAGGTATAGTACGGCTTAGACGCACAACAATATTGCTGGACGCTCCTAAATCTGGTTCTGTCGCTGGTCTCTTTTCAGAATCATTTTCCTGCCCAGAATATAGTTCAAAATCATAGGCAAATCCTGATACACCGCATAGAATGAAGAATTTAAAGCCCCATTTGTGAGGCTTCATTGGCATATATTGTTTTAAATGTATCCGAGCTTTAGTTGAGCAAATTTGCTCATCGATTGATAAGCATTCCTCTTTAGGAATTGTACGAAACCTATCTTGAAAGTGTTTCACAATTGAGGCTACTTTTATAAGCCTATTATAGCCTGGTTGACCTTTAGCTATAGAATTATTATTGTCATTAAAATGAAGAATGGATCGAATGCTTTCAAATTTAGTGATTGTCATGGTCTTTTTTATAAGATCATTGCCAATTATACATCTTTCCAATAGTCTCTGATAGATGGTAATTGGACAATGGACATCAGAATATTAATCCCAATAAATTTTCTTAACTCCATTTTGGAAATTTTTATAGGTTTATTTATATTTTTTATTGCAGCGTATTTAGTTGATTCGAGAACCACTAAATCTAGGAAATTATCATTTAAAAAATATGATAAACATTGATATGGAGAATTTAAAGCCAGTATGTGGCTGGCCAAAGTTGACTTTCCATTGAATTTTAAATAATTTTTAGGGATGTTTATATTTTTTTCCTTCCATAGTATGTCTCTTCGTCTATTTATAGCAGTAAAATTATCTGAAAATAATGAATTTTCATCCTCATTATCGTCGAAATCTTCAAGGCTATCATCAGAAGAATCAGATGATGAAATCATCTTTGTGTCTTTTGTGTTACAAATATATTAATGCTAGTAAAAAAATTTTAATTAAACTTTTTTTAAATATAAAAACGGAAAAGAATATAGAAATATTTTAGTTATCTGTTGATATTTTTTTTGAAAAATAATATCGGAGTTTAATATTAAAAAAATGTAATTAAAAAATTACGAAAAATGTCAATTTTGAAATATAGGGAACAGCTGACATTAAATACTCGCACTTTAAATAAATATGAGAATTTCTATTTAAAAAAATGATTTTTATATAAAAGGAATGTTACTTGTAAGACACAATTCAAATTTTAGCGCCAAAATAATTTACACGGTAAAATAGGTCAGAAAATTCACTATGTGACTGATTAGTAGTCATATGTGATAAAAAATAATTATATTGTTAATTAAATCTTTTTTTATATATTAATTTTAAATTTTATCTGATAAAAAAAAAAGCGTTTTCTATTTAATATTAAATTATCTATGCTAAAATGTGTTCCATCGGAGCAGAGGATGGTATTGCAGTGTTTTATTCGATGAATAAAGATCTTATTTCTGGAAATTTATTGAAAATATTTAATATTATATCTTTTGTTTAAAAAAAAATAGATTTTTTGGTTTTCTACGATTTTCTTTAAATTTTCGCTAGAATTCAAAAAAATAATTTGGGCAAAAATAGATCTTTTATTTTTTTGATAAATTAATTAATTTAAAATAGGCAGTGTTTTTCATTATCAAAAAATTGATGTATTTATATATAAATTATTGAGTAGTAAAATATAGTCCAGTTTTTTATTTCGAAATTTTCCAGCATTTCATTAATATTTAAATTTTTTTTTACCCAAGTAGGAGATCGAACCCGTAACCTTTCCCGCCATTTTTAAAAGTAAAAATTTTTTTTGTATTTATTATGAACTAGTGTTGTAAACGGAACGCGTTCGTGAACGAAGTTCGTTTTTGAAAAAAGGTGATGAACGGCGTTCCTTTTTTTGACGAACTTTGAACGTGAACGCGTTCCTTTTTTTTGATGAACGTTCGTTCAATTTTAAAAACACTTTTTATTTTTATTTATTTGAAAAATTAATATTAATCCGCATTTTTTACCAAAAAATCTTATATTTTTATTTATTTGAAAAATTAATATTTAATCCAATTTTTTAACAAAAATGTCTTATATTTTTTAATCAGCTGTTTTTACTTTTTCCTCGTTCATATTGCAATTAACGTACCATAACGTGCTACTGCTAGAGAAGATAAGATTAAAGTTTATTAATTTGAATATTTTATATTTTAATTTAATAGATTAGCATTTGCATGGATATAAATATTTCATCATCAGATTCTGAAAATCAAAATTCAATATTAGATGAATTAGAATTACCATGGCCCAAATATCAAAAATATTTCACTGTTTTAAAATCAAAAGGTAATTCAATAGTTACCAAATGTAAAATGTGTCCAAAAAGTATTATATCAGTGTCAACATCTTCAAGCTCCAATTTAAAAAGACATCTGATTGTAACATTAATTATTTTATATTATATAATATGTATAACTATATAGCCAGTTAATAATTTATTTTAATTGTTCTAAGTAAAAATAATTACATAATATATATATATAGTTAATTATAATAAGGCATTTTAATATTAGTATTTAAGAAAAAAATTTTATAAATTTATTTTTTTATCGCTCTATTATATTGTATTTATAATTATATTATCAAAATAAAACTATTATTTTTTTATCATGGTTAATATATTGTGTTGAAAAATATAAGGCATTTATTTATATTAAATTAAATTTAAAAAAAAATTTATCATAAAATTTTGAACGCATGAACGCGTTCATGAACTTGAACGCGTTCCTTTTTTGAATTTGAACGTGAACGTGAACGCGTTCGATTTTTGTCAATAAACGTTGAACGCGAACGCGTTTGATTTTTTTAAAAATGTTTACAGCACTATTATGAACCATATTGAAAATGGTAAGTTTTAACATGAACGTAAAAATATTATATACGATGAAGCTTAAATATTTTTTGAAAGTACTATTATATAAAATAATATATATATATAATATTTTAAATTTAAAGACTTGCAAAAAAAAACTTAAAAATTAATTAATATCTTGCCAAAAATTTAAAATACTTACCAAATGATTAATAATCTTGTCCATTTAATTCAAATACTGACCGACCAAAGTAATTACTTCCGTATTTCCATTTTGCGGGAATTTTTCGCAAATTAATTTTTAACCTTATAAGGTTTGGCTGCCTTTATCTCATCCATCCGGATATTCAATACCGAAATGCGATCTTTTTTCCAAAAGGGTTATGCTTTCTTTTCCAACGACCATCTATCCTTTAGGTAAATATTTTACATATTTACATGCATAATCAATCATTTCAACATTTTATAGGCCTATATTTATTTGCTGTAATTAGTTAATTTAATAAATCGATACTATCACTAATAATGTATATTTGTTCTTTTCATTAAAGCATGTTCTAAAAAATAATATTTATATTTATTCAAAAAATGCTAAACTTAAAACCATCTTAAAATCGCTCGAGATACCCGATTCACCCCCCCCCCCCATTATTTTTAATTAAAAGAGCGCCTCGTGGCCAAAATTTCACAGAATGCTAGTGACAACATGGAAGAAAATAAGCCGATGTTTTTAGATTCTGGGTTATATAACCTATAAAATATGTTTATGTAGGTGGATTCCCAGGCTATCCCACGGGATTAGGTAAGTGCTTGTCATCTAATGTGCTTAACCACAAAAGTTTTAGGGGCAGGGCATGTTAGCTCACTTGTCAATTATGTTCCTCGCTTTGCTTTGTCTGAGGTGACGGCCTTTTTAAAATTTCCTATAAAGAGGTTGATTCCTTGTCCATTTGGGTATTGCAAATGGATCAATCATAAGATGAAGTGATATTACAATTAAAAACAGTGCGAGACCCTGATAGAAATTTTAAAGATTGTCATCTCAGACATAACTGTATTATCACCAATGCTTCAAAAATTGTAAGAACGGCCACCTTAGCCTTGGAATTACGCCTGCATAAACATTTTAATCGGGAACCATGAACACTTCCTGGCATCGGCGGGAAATGTCGAGAGTGGCAAATATCCATTTTTAAATAACGTTTTTGTACCACTTTTGGCAGCTTTGACCATGAGGTATTCATTTTTAAAAATAAGAGGAAACAGAATATGGGCGGTCTTAAAGAATTTTTTTTATCTGAAAAAAACTCAAGGTTGGAATATGTTGATCTAATCTATTTTCTACCCCTTTATGTAGTACGTTTTTTTCCAAGGAATTTTAGACGAAAAAAATATAATTCCATTAATTAAATTTTTTTTATTAATATAAAATTTTGAAAACTAGATTTAAAACAAAAGAGGTAACTTGTATGATTAATTGTTCACATTATAATATATGCATAAAAATTTAAGATAAATAATTAAATTAATAAAATTATTTCAGAATTTTTATATAAAATTTTTTTCCCATAATATTGTGATTGTGAATTTAAAACCATTATCATAATAATCTTATTTTATTTATCATAGACATTCTAATTGTATATATCATTTTTTTTATAATAGCTTAAATGATTGCTTTAAATATATTTATTTTTATTTAAATTATGATAATGATATTAGTTATTCACATGTCATCAGCCCTAATCGAGGGCATCAATCAAAGTTGTACAAAGGAGAGAGTTCTCGATTACTTGTATCAGCCAAAAATTAACGACGAGAAGCGACTACTGAACGACCATATGATTTTTAATGATAAATATAGCGTGCATCGTTATTGGCAACACGTCTTACCGGATATATTGAAAGATTTGATTGAGAAAAAGTAACCTCAACCCTTCTAATAAATTTTCATTGAGGATTTTGTCAAACTCATCTTTTGTTTTTCATCTAAATAATTATTTGCGAAAATCAATGGCATCGCATCTTTTTCTCATTTTCGCTTTTCTAAATATATTTCGCTCAGATAGAATTAAAATATTTTAGAAGGCTGAGCACACTTTTTTCCTATAACTGGCGACGAGCGTCATTGATATTATGGAAGTGATTTATCTTAATTAATGTTCTTAATAGAACTCAGATATTTGTATATTTTTTTGTTATTTTAACAGTAATATATAAAAATATTATTATTTTTTCAATTTTACATCATTTACACCGTTGTCAAATCTCAATCCTAATAAACACTAAGGCTTCTTATAAATTTATTCCATACCTCCTAAATTTCTTCTTTTTTTACAAGTCTAAAATGTCCCAGTAACATTTTTATCACGAGAAAGAAAGATAAGTTAAGATAAGGAATTACCTCAACTGGCAACACCAAATAACCCAACAATATAAATCTTTTAAAGTTTAAGCTTGCAAGCTCTCGACGTTGCCCATTGTTATTCGGCCAGATCGCCTTATCATTCATCGAATAATTCCGAAGTCTTAAACGAATTTGCTTTATCAAACGCTTTAGAGACTTTATTACACCGGGTATTAGAATGTGATCCTAGCAAGCCACCTCTCTTTAATAAATTTCAAGAATTCGGGGGTACTGATTACAGGTTAAATGCAAATTATAAAACTGATTTATGAAATAAGAAAATCTTTATTATAATGAAAAGGAATATCATATTATAGTAGAGCTAAGAAAAATACGAAGCCCAGTTTTGGTTTTACTTTTTTTGAATTTTAAACTCGATTTTGTTTTATTTAGTGTCAGGTTTATATTATTTTTAAAAAAAATTTTGTTTTGCAATTTTTCTTTATTTAATGATATATTTAATTTATGCGTAAAACTATGATTAAGAATAGAAGAGGCTTAAGAAAATATCAAGAAATAGCAAAGAGAATCTAGGGAAGAAAAGAAAGTAATGTTTGTAGGAGGCATGGGAAGGTATTCGATTGAAGGATAAAGCTTGGGGATAGTTATTGTGGTAGCAAGCCTTTGTCGTAAGAGGTGATTCTTTGGGTTGATCTATCTTTTCGCGGATACTTATCCCTAATTCTTTAAAGAGCTGCCGAAAGAGATAAGAGTAAAGCAAGCAATGGGTATGAATTTGTAAGGAGGATAGAACTATATTTGGTTATTCTCCGAAATATTTGTCAAGTGCGAGGGCATCAGGAATTTGGTGAAGTCCCAAACTAGAAACTAACCGCTTGACATGAAATTGAGGACATACCTTGTGGACGTTTATCATCGGTTCCAAATAATCTGGTTGGTTAAGTCTAGAGGAGATACTTATCGATTTAAAAGCTCACAAAATAAGATCATTGCATTTGATATGCCTTGTGAAACGACCTCGGAAAAATCTGTAGTGGTTACAATGCTTTCCCTTGTTTTCAACACTGGTTTCACAATATTTGCATTGGTAAGGCAAATCGATTTCGCAATTAATCCTATAGCAAATCTTAGCTCCTCTGAGGAGTCAAGATTATTACAGAGTATTGTTTCCAAAAACTCGTAACTAGATCCTTGGTTCACGTAATAAAAACTGTGAGATCGTCTTCATGAAGGCTTTATTTTAGGTACACGGCGGATCCTTCGTTGAGTAGAATATCCCATCTTTCTGTAAACACGAGAAAGGTTGTTGAGTGTTTAGGATCACCAAATTTTCCCATATTGTCTGAGTTTCGTCTAACAAGGGGTCAGCGAAGGGAACTAGCAAATATAACGGCTGACAGATGGGATGGGAGGCGATGGACCAACTGATAGAAAGGGTCATGAGGTGATCGTAATGAAATTGCTAGTAGCCATGAGTTATGATTTAAGCGGAGATTAAGGATCTCATCGGCTTGAGATTTTACGAATATTGCGAATAATTTTAATAATAAGGGAAGTGGGTCGAAGGGCCTAAAATTTTATGGATATAGTAAAAGATTTTATGAAGGAAAAGATGATGAGGAGGAAAATGTTTGGAGATGTTTTTAAATGGAAGTATGGAAGATAACACATTAAAGAAGCAACTGGGGAGCCTAGATTGGTTAGAGATTAGAGTTTGATTGTATGAAAATTAGGCTGAATAAGATAGAACAGTATATTTGATTAGACCTCATTTTTCTGCTCTTTGAGCAAAAGTACCTAACCGCGTTTGGGACAATGTTCTAAAATCCTCTATACCCTTCAATCCACTTCTATTTCAAATTCCCTGAATCATTAAAATTATTCAAAATTTCCTACAAATCTCAGGCGGAGGACATCCTTTTTATTCTTAACTCACAGCTACAAGCATTAGTTCCATGCAAACTTTGGATCAGTTTACTATCACCCTTAATTTTTCCTATCTGCGGGATAATCGCTTCCCATTCTCAGACGAGTTTCATATCTGTCAGCTTTCCCTTTTGCTCATTCCTTGTTAGTTCAAGCCCAGGTTATATGAGAAATCCCATAGTCCCAAACACTTAACGATCTCGTGTGAAAAACTGAAATGCTTCACTTAGTGAAGGTTTCGTCGCATACCTAAAATATGGCCAAGACGACTCACAGTTTTTCAGTGAGCTAAGGATCTTGTTATGAGTTCTTTGAAACCATACTTTATAGCTCGTTTTGCTCCTCTCCGCGGGCGAGCTAATAAACATTGTGAAACCAGTGTCGAGAGCAAGGGCAGACATTACCTCAGTTGTCGATTTTACTTACGGTCTTTTCCAGAGCATACCAGATGCAACTAATGATTTTTTTTTAAAAAAAGCCTATTCTTCCAAATTAATCTTATGACTACTATTTTATATTGAAATTAAAAATAAATTTTGTTTAGATTTTCAAAAAAAATTATAATTTAATATATCATATATTACATTAAGTTTAATCTTGCATTCAATAATAAGAACCTTTTCTTTTTGAGGATTTAATGAAATATGAAATTTTTTGTTTTTCAGTCACGTTGCCTCAATTTTAAGATAATATTACCATTTTATATCAGACATTCTCGAGATGTGAAACATCCTAAAAAATCTACGAATCAAGATAATGCAACCAATTCTCCCCCATTCATCACTTCTCAAAAACATGTGGAAAAGAATATTTCGACGATTAAACAGCAAGATAACTATAAACGACTCAGCACGGGTAATTTAAACCTGAATAATGTATCCTCTTTATCACCTAGACCTTCCGATCCTGAACCACTGCTGCCTAGAGTAAGCAAAATAAATATTATGATTTTATTTATTTTGAGAATTTGGAATATTTTATTTACCCTACAAATTGTTAAAACCGTTAGTAATCGTTATGACAAAAATTCCCTTAGATTGGAAAAAAACGGACAAAAATCTTCTTTTATAATTTCTATTTGTAATATAAAATAAACCAAAAATAATGCTCAGAATCAATATAAATGGGGACAATTTGGTTGTTATTGACGCTGGTCATTTAAATTGGCTTAACTTAAGAAAGCCCGATACTAATCTCCTCCTCTATAGAAAGAAAGAAAGAAAAGTTAGATTTGAATGGTCAAGTCAAATATTTATTCTCGGAATATTCGTTTTATTTTTATATATATTATTTTAAAAATTATATTTTCATATTTAATTCTTATATTTGGGATAATAAATTTACGTTAAGGACAAAAATGATCTTGTTGGAGATAATGATCTAATGTATCCCCATATGAACAATTAATATCTAAATGCTTTAATCTTTGCGTAAAATTGAATTATAGATTCAGAATTTTCTTGTTTCGACATAGGGAGTTTCCCACCTTTGTTTTATCGTGTTGGTCTAAGGACTTAGTTATTTTTTTAAGAATTTTAGTCAGTTCAACGATTTTTTTTCTGGTTTACTTGGCGAACAAATATAATACAGTATTAAATAGATTTTATGCCCTAGGCTAATTAGAAATATAGATCGTTTTGGGGTATCATTAAAGTAATTTTTGGCTACGAGATAGATAAGTCCCTACTACCTCCTTTCCATCTTGTAGTGTTAATTGTATTACTATATTATACATGGCTCGCAGCGCCAAACTATTATGTCACGACTTAACGGGAATCAAAAAGGAATTTGAAATTAGCCTTTTTATTTTTTTATCTTTCCTTTTCTTTTATAGGAAAATTTCGTAATTTAGATTTTAACAAAAATCATAACAAAATAATATTCTAATCTTAACGCGAATTTCCTAATTCCACAATATAAGAATTAGATAATTAAAAATAATATATATTTATATAAACCCGAATATTACAAGAATAAATATTTGACTTCTCCATTTTATTATAACATTATTAAAGAAAGATAATATAATGAAAGCTACAGAATCCAACCATAATACCTGATCAAATTTCTATTTCGAATTTCAAAACCTTTAAATGATACCAAGAAAATTCCCAAACGAAAAGAATTTTAATCATCGGGAGAACCTGAAATATGGTTATGGTTTATGAAGCATACTGTTGTACTATAAGATATTACAAGAAATATGTCCTCATTTGATAATGGACCCTAGAGCGGAACGATTGCGTTTACTTTTGAAACGCATTTAAAATATTTATTAAACTAAAATTTGATATGTATAGCAGAAACCTTCCCTTAATTTTAATCAAGCCCAGTCCAAACCCGTAGTAAAAAAAAATTTAGACCCAGACCCGGATAATATTTATTATTAAAAACAATTCCCAGGTTCATAATAAGTTTCAAATAATTTTCCCAAACCCTATACAAAAATTTAATTGTATTTAATGAAAATAAACAATATGTTTACAATACTCAAAATTATCAATATTTTTTTAAGTTAGCAACTGTTTTAAATAAGCTAAATTTAAATTTAAAAAGTTTAAGCCCAAGTCTATTTTTAAAAAATTTAAAAACTCAGACCCGCTAGATAATATTAAGCCTTACCCGGCCCAATATCTGATATATAGATGGAAATTTTAAACCGACACCACCAAAACTCATACTTCTTGCAATGCTGATGAAATGAGCCCTATAGCATTATTCAAGAAACAATTATCATACAAAGGTTTATTCAAACTCTTAACCCAAACAATTCAAGATAAGTTCTTATCCAGAAAAGAATGCATGATCCTCAATAAAACAAAATTTATGCATAATTTAATCCATATTACAAAAATATCAAACATTTATTTTAACTATCTAATTTTATAACCCCTCCACTCAAATTACAAAATAGGTACTAGCATTCCTGCGAGAATTTCCTTTCGATAATTACGTTCCCGTTTTAGTTCGGTGCGCTAGAAAATCTGAAATTGCGCTTTGGCCCAAATTATTTTCGGTCGATGATACGGCAAATGAGGATTATAATTTTAATGAAACAAATAATGATCACGGTAAAACTGATTCAAATACTGATTATATTAAAGGAGGCTCTAATGATTTATACGATAATCGACCTGCTAAATTGTTCAAGGTATTAGTATTTTCTTTTTTACATCAAGAAAATGTGTTTTTTCTCTCTCGATTATTATGCTATATTTCGTCAATGATTTTTTTTGAATGAATTTAGTGGGTCTATTATTCTTATATGTATTAATAATTATAATCCAAAATATAAATTACCATTAGGAATGTGTGAAGAGAGGCGATTTAGAAACCGCTACATCATTACTCATAATCTTGCAGAATTTGGAATCCTTCAGTAAAAGTTTTAGAGACGCGGAAATTCTATTGCTTTCAACTCTGGATAAAGAAAGATGGGATTTAGCCAAAGAAATTGCTCGTTATTTGAACTCTATCATGAAAGGTTTGTTCTGCCTGCTATTTAGAAAAAATATTTATTGGTAGTCCCTTCCGATTCTGGACCAAATTCGGTTGTTTTGAAGAAACATTCGAATTTTATGGCTTTCTATTAAATTTAATAGTATTTGATAACTGATCCTGTCGTTGATTTAGGATTAGGAAGAAAAAATAAAGTTAAAAATCCTTTATTAAACTTTCTATTACGAGTATATATTTACTTTTGGCTAAAATCATGCAAGAACCGATCTAAGTTTAATTCAAAATCGTGTCGGTTTGATTTTATCTTAATTTTGACATTTAAGAAAGAAGTCTTTCTTCCTTTCTTTCTTAATTTTTAAACTTATTTCGAACCTTCGCAAAATTTTTAATTTTGCTTCGTTTGAAATATTTTTAGTTTTACAGCAGTGTAATATTTTTTTTTTAAATTATATCGTGGAGACTGGATTAATTTTCTATGAAATTTCGGGTCGATTAAAATATTTTTTTAAGTAATATTTTCTCGGGTCGGACGATTTAGACTTGAAAAATAATGTATCCGATGCGAATTTTAACATGAAACAATCAGATAAGTTATAGTGGCATACTTTTTGGAGATATATATATATGTCGTATCGGAATATGGAATCTCTCCTTTTTAAATCATTTAAGAACTATTTTTAAATCTGAAAAGTCTGCTTTTGCCGGAAATGTATTTTAGCATGTATCCATCAGCTGTGAATTTCAGACAATTTTGCCGTTAACTTTTGAGCTGCAACTTATGTTGATTTTTAAATTTGGATATTTAAGATAAATTGAAAAATATACCAAAGTTTATGGCAAAAATTCTCTGAAATTCATAGGATAGTTACTCTAATGCTGGTATATATCCGGTCAGATCTGACTTCAAATTTAAAGATCGCTCTAAATAAATGTTACAATATTGAGAAATTTCGAATCACAATGGATTCCATATCCCAATACAACATATATATAAATATGTCATTGGGATATGGAATTAATTTATTAATATTCACTCAACTTGCTTTTCCTAGAATATACTAGATTAGCCAAGGTCAATAAACAGGATTCAATTTGGTGTTTATAAACTAGAGCTGAACGCAGCCGCTACTTTTCTTGAATTTTTTTTAGATTGCGGTGGGTTATACCCGAATTATAGTTTACTAGACTAAATTAAGATATAAATATTAAAAAAATAGTAGCACTTAATCTTGTAAAAGTATCGTTACAAACTTTAGGCGTATTATTATTAATTTGCGGTGTATTACTTTAAACCTAATTTCCATTACAGTTAGCGCGAATTCACGACTAAGGATATAAAATATGCACCGTGGCGGATGTATTTTGATATACTTCGCCGGAAATTCGCTCAAACTGTGAATGAGGAGTTAAAATAATAAATTATTTTACTCTACATCCAAAGTTGTTTCTTAATGATTTTATTTTGCTTGTTTAAATTGATACATTTAATAAATTGATACTCTTTTCAATTTTGGAATGGAACTCTAACATATAAACTGTTTGACATTCTAAAATTAATAACTAATTTTAGATACAGAAAATGATCAATCTACTAAATCGGCACCTACAGAAGAGACTATTTTGTCAAAAGAAGACATAAAATCAAATTATCCTTTGTTTATTGATAAGTAATCACAGATTAAATTATTCAATTCAATATATACATATATATTTTATTTATATTCTTATTGTATTGTTTTATTTAAAAAAAACAGAAATAATTTTAAAGCAAGTTATTATTTTTTTAAAAAGGTAAAATCATGGATATTATTAATGCTAATATAAATTTGGGAGAGCGCATGTTAAAATATTATTTTCTATAAAAATCTAGTTTACTCTCCGATAAGTGCCCTTATTGTAATTCCAAAGACGCGGAAGAAAAGTTTAAGTTTACGACTTCTATCGATAAAACGACCGAATATCCTTACAGAATCAACGATATTTTGGACAAATATGCCGTTAATTTAATTATTGACGGAGAGTTAAAGAGAATGGCTACTTTTGCGGCTAATATGAATTTCCCTTTAGTTCCGTTTTTGTCTCTACAAAGGTATTATAGCTTTTGCAAAATATATTTCAAAATAATCGCGGGTAAATGTGATAAAGATAAATAAAGTAGTTATAAAAAAATAACAATTAGCGAACTTCTTTGGCTCTATTGATACTGGGCTACTTTAAAAGTAGCTTTTAACAATGTTTCTTTTTAAATTATTTCCATTTCCTGTGTATGCTAATTTTTTATTTCATTTTTAAAGAATAGGATATTCTTTTTGATAGATAATATTTTATTACCGAACATGAACAAAAAAAAGATTCAAGGCATGCGCCATTAAAAACTATATAAATGCTTTCAAGAAGTTACACGCCATATTCGATTGGCCATACGGTCATTACGTGAATATTAAATACAACCGTAAGTCATATTATTTAAAAAAAATAATAGTATAATTGGCTTTTATAACATTTTTCATGGGACTCGAAATCTAAAACTATGCTAAAAGCGAGGAACGTTTTTAAATAAACCTGAAAGATTATAAGAGTTATACGATATCATTTTTATATTATTATCAACGTGCTTGAGATGAAATATGATAAGAGTCTAGAGTATGAGACTGAACAAAGGGTTCTGATTAATTATAAAAAAGGTCTATACGGTTTCTATATCTTCTAGAGTTGCTGGCTCCCTTTCCTAAGTTCGACGCAATTTGGATTCTGGTTTCATCTCAAAAGCAATTTTAAACTAAATAAACCCTATAAAATTAATCACGCAACATTTTTTAATAATTTAAATTAGAAACATCTTGAATTTTTAAAGCAGGTTCTGGTTCCGACTCCAACAAATTTTTAGACGGGGTTTTCAGGATTTTGGGTCTGATTCTGAAATCGAATTTTATTTATTATTATTCTTATTTCTATACTTTTGATTTTACAATATTCGTAAGACTTTGAAAATAAGTATTATTTATTTTTAACTAAATAATAAAATATGTTATATTTTTCCCCATAAAAAAATAATTGGTTTAGTTAAAAATAACGGACCACCAAGAACAAAATCATGGGATTTGAGTCCTCGAACTTCCCAAATTACATCTCCCACAAATAGCTATGAACCACGATCCGATATTGAAAAAACTAGAATTATCAAGAACAATTTCAGGCCTAGTGAGATTGATAAAATAACCTTGACTCCAAATTCATTTATGCCTTCTACACCTGACGTAAATTTAGCTAAACTTATGGAACCAATCGATATTCAAGGCCCAGATTCAAGAAAATGTTTAACTTTACATTTTAAAAAATGTTATTTTTTAAAAAATATATATTTGAAAGTAGGTTTGATATAGACACTAATTACGATAAAAATTTGATCATTTATAAACTAAAGGTTATAATAATCGAATTTAACTTTACCAGCCTGTTAAGTCTATCTGAGCCTTTGGTTCTATATTTTATAAATCCAATCTCAAGCATATCAAAAAATATCAGAATTTATTTTCATATTTACGATAATACTAAATTTTTAATTATAAGCAAAAAAATTTTGAATAAATTAGAAAACATTTTATATTTGTTGTGAAGTGTTTATTGGTTCGAGAGGTCTGATAGTCCTATACTGGATATCTTTGGTTACTTTGAGGATTTTAGTTAGATACAATAGGTCACTTAGGAAGGAACTACAAATAATATTTAGAAGAGTAGAATGAACATAGGGCCATATTTCTCGAGTCTAAAAGAAGAACCGTAAGGTCTGCAAACTAACGTAACATTTTTGACTGTTTTACTCATTATAATTTTAGCATCCGTTAATTGTTAATTTACTTTTATTATGATTATATTTTATATTCTTGATTCTATTACCAAAAAAGTGTAAACAAACCAATTTTTGTTTAATTACCCTTTTCCAGGTTCACCCGGGAGGTGAGTTTTTTTTAACCCCATTTTTCACTGTCCTGGGAATCGCCAATAGGGCTAATAAAGATATATTTTGTCCAAGAGATCCTTTCTTAGTTCCGAGTCTGATCCAATTTTTTTTTAATTATCTTTTTAAAGTATGATATTTCAATATCAAAAAAATATTTAAATAATTTGTTTGTGAATATAAAAGTAAATTTAGTTTTTGGTTTGTATGTTTTTGTCTTTTTATATGTTGCTGGACATTCAAAAAATTTAGTTTGAGCCCCATTACATATATATGTCATTTCTCAGCCCTAGCTGAAATATAATAAAGATTTTGGTGTTAAAATAATTTAAAATTTGTTGAGGTCCATGTTCGGTCCAAATTTGTTTTAAAAAAAAAATCCAGATTCTAGTTAGTCTGAGAGAATGTTTCTCTGAGTTTAATCAACCTATGTTGGAAAGAAAGTCGGATTGGATATGACTTTGCATACTCTTCAAGAAATATAATAATGAAAAGTATAATTGCCATTACAATAACTTGATTTATAAGTTATTTTGAGCAGTTATTTATCTTAATACAAATTTAATTAAGATAACCAAAAAAATCTGTAATTGACATTTGTAATATCCAATCTAGCTCATTATTTATTTCTGCTTAAACCTGGCCCACAGTTTTAATTCTAAAAGGAAAACCATATACATATTTAGCAAAGTTTTTAAATATATTTTATGCCTATAAAATATTTTAAAATTTCAGCCCAAATAAATATAGATATTTTATCACCAGCTGGTGATTCACCCAAATACAATCAAGCAGATACCATAAGTATGACAGATACTATAAATTATTCTCAGCAATATACAATGGAAAGGCCAAGCACTCTTAATTTAATAACTGTAGCTAACCCAAACCAGAAAGACTGTGAAAGTAATATCAAGAATGGTATTAAAAATAAGGTTAATGATTCTCTTGCTGATTGTAGCAAACAAGAACTTCAACTGAGGTTAGAAATATTTGATAATGTTTGCAAGTATTTTATTAATTTGATCTATTGATTTATAAATGTAGGAGAAATCATTATTATAATATGTTAATATAATGATGTGTAAAAATAAAATTGAACTTTTTCTAATAAAATTTTATTATACCAAACCCTAATTTTGACAAATTTTTTTATAATAACAAACATTTTTTTAAAATAAATAGGTACTTATTAAAAATATTTATGGAATCAGGGTGTTTAGACTGGGCTCTATTGATATGCCTGATACTTGGGGATGTTAATTCAACTTCCCATACTTTGAATGTTTGGCTCAAAAAAATTCATGATCAACATGTTAATATAATTCAAGTTAAATGTCCTAATCAAGATTTTTTAAATGAAATTATTCATGGATTACATGAATTGATGAAATGGGCTGAAAATGAGTGGTAAATTATTTTTTTAAAAAAATATGTGAATATTTATTATAGCCCATATTATGAATATTTAATTTGTCAAATGTTAAATCCTCTACTTGAATTTGATGACAAAGTCAAAAATAGTGGATATTCATCCAATAAAAAATCAAGCAATGATCAATTATTTTTAGATATTAATTCAAAGATACTTATAAAAAATGAATCAAATCATATGAATATAGATGATAAAAATTTTGTAAAAATTGTTACAACAAATAATAATTCTCAAAATTCATGCTTAATTAATTAATTTATTGAGTTTATAATATAATTATTTAGTATTAATAAAATTATTTTTTGTAATAATATCTTGAGATGTTATAACTTCGAAGGACCAGAAAGATTCAATATTTATATTTTCTGAGGAAAAATCTGAAATTTTGGTAGCTTTTATAGCTTTAGAACATTGTAGAGAATTATTTGCTTTATGATTATTTATTGAGTCTTGAATACCACCTAAGACAGCAATATACATGCCTTCAGAATCCTTTATGATAATTAATAATATTTTATAATACCAATTTTATGATCTAAACATCCGTTTGGAACTTTATTATAGCCAAAAACATCTATATAACCAGTTCCATCTGATATTAAAATAGAATTTTCATCTAAAATCTTTCAAACAATCAGGAATAAATATTTATATAAATATATACCTTAATAATAAATCCTTGAACCCAAACTAGGGTAATATATAATTTTACGTTGTTGGTATAAATATAATATTTAGAATTTTCATCACAATGTAAATCATTAATTTGGCAAATAAAAACTTTGGTTATAAAATTTTCAAATTTTTCAACTAGACTCATCCGAGCATTAAAGAGTTAAATCTGGAAATTTAATATTGAGTTTCTTTTCTGTGAAATCATATATATCTGGTAAGATAACTCTTGAATATAGCTATTTTTTCCAACCTACTAATACGAAGTATTAGCCCTTAAATTCAAATAGCATTTTTAAATTAGTTTACATAAAAAATCTCATAAATAGGAAAGAATAGGGTCAATTTTATAAATAAGATTTAAGTCTTTTAATGCGCCTATTCTACTTCCCCATCCAATCTAAATAAAGGCATTTAGTAATTGAAATTAATAAATTATATAAAATTTATACCTACAAATTAACATTCATATTAAAATTTTATTAACAACATTTTAAGAGTTATGAGACATCTTTTCATTAAAAAGATTATTAGTCAAACTTAAGGGTTCATCTTGTGCTCTAGGAATAACTATTGTATTTAATAAATAATTGTTTGATATGAAAAATATTAAAAATGGCGAAATCTTTACCTTTTGTGCTGAAAATATTATCATGGTTTTGTCTTATATTTAATTTTCATCAAATTATTTTTATTATCTATAATATTAGAACCGTACTGATATACAAGTTGTTCACCGATTCTATCAAATATCGTATAAACTGATCATTTAAATTTATCTTTAAACCAATGTCATAAAAAAAATCAATATTTTCTATGCAATAATTATCTAACTAAACTATGAACACAAAAGCACTTTGAAAATTTTTGTTTCTCATGGCCAATGTCTAAACGGGGGAGATGGGTGTAGGCATTATAATAGGAGTTACATTTATTGTAGGATTACTAATTACGTTTTTAAATAAAATAGGCCGAATATATTAGTGGAAAAATTTATCTAAACATTAAATCATAGACCTATTTTGATTTTACATTTCTAAACATTGACCAAACTATGTAATACATAACTCAGTAAATTAATTTTTTAAATAAAATTTATATTATTGTACCTCCAAAAATAATACTATAAGATCAGGATCTTTTCTTTATAATAATTCCCTGATTAATTATAGTTGTATTTAATAATTAAAAACATATTTTTACATTTATTTGAATGATTTAGAAAATATTTCATATTTGTATTTCAAAAATTAAATTATAAAAATATTTTTCATTTATGACTTTAAAATATATATTTAACTTATTAAAATTTATACTATAATTAATTTCAATTTTATTCCTCAAATTCATTTTGTGATCCGAATTAAAGAAATGAATCAAGATCTATATGTTTCATCCTGTATTATTAAGATGTCATACGTGAAAATCAAAAAGATTAATGACTAGACAATATTATATCACTTCTACCGAGTTAATATATGATTATGCTTAGATAGACCTATGCCCCGGTCGCAGCGTCTACATGACAGAATTTTCACTGGATGCAAACCCACTTCAAAAACCTTTGCCTACCCCCCCCTTTTTAATTATAATGATACTCTTTTCAGAGAATTTATAAAGTGTAATAAATTAATAAATGATTATTTATGTATATTGTATATTAAAACAGAATCGAACATTCGAAAAATAATAAATAAAAATTTGATATCAAAAATAAATTGAAATATAAATCAGTGGTCGTATTGTTTATAATTAGTAGTTGGTATTACTACAAATGGCGACGATAAATGGAGAAAATAATTCCTTAAATGGAGATAATAATTCCTTAAATGGAGAAAATAATTCCTTAAATGGAGATTCAAAAAAAATAGCGGATTTATCTACGATTAAATTTGATAAATTCGAGTTGGATACTTCTATCCACAGATATTTTTCTCAATGGGAAGCCAGTTTTCGGTTAAAAAACGTAAGCCCATCTGAATGTCAATATAAAGATATATTTTTAACATTTTTTGGCAATAAGAATATTGAGTTGGTGGACCGTTTTTGTTATCCTGATTCGATCGAAACTTTATCTTTTAAGGAAATTAAGTCAATATGTTTTAAACTATTTAAACCGACGTCAACAGCTTTTGCTTCTAGATTTGATTTCGTTAGATTACGGAGAACAACTGAAACCATAACTGAATTTGCAGATAAAATTAAAACAATTGGCAAGCGTTGTCATTATCTTAATGATATTGACGAGCGTTTACGTGATCAGTTTATGGTTGGCATGGAAATACCGGGATTGGAAAGAGATCTTAGAGCTCTATATCCCGACGGTCTTGATAGAGATAATAATGTACTGACTTTTCAATTTATTCTTGATCTGGCATTAGCTTCTGAGCGAGCAGATAAAGAAATGGCAAATAAAAATATGCCAGTTGTTAATAAGATAAATGTTAATAACAAAAGAAATGATAATGATAATGATAATAATTATAAACATCCAATAAAATCGACGACTACAATTGATAAAGGCTATAATAAAGTCAAGTATAATAATACATTTGATAAAGAGAATAATAACTACAAATATAATAATGATAAAGATTATAATAAACTTAAATGTTATAAATGTGGTTTTATTCATAACCGAGAAGTGAGATGTCCAGCTACAAATGCGGCATGTAATAAATGTAAAAAAATTGGTCATTTTGCAGTTTGCTGTAAATCAAAGAATTTAAATTATATAAGAGTGTCATCAAGTGATTCTATTCATAATATTTGGAAGATTCAACAAAATCGAGAGAATCGAGCAAAACTAACTGCAGAGATAAATGGGTTAGATCTTGAATTTGATTTTGACACTGGTGCACAAGCGTCATTGATAGGAATTGATATATGGACAAGTATTGGGCGACCAAAAATTAGGCCAACCAGTCCATTGACTGCATATGGTGATCATCCGTTAGACGTCAAGGGCGAGACCCAAGTCAATGTTAGGATTGGATCACAGACAAGGACTCTACCAGTGGTAATAATGAATACAACTGGGGTGCCTCTTTTCGGATTACCATGGATTATAGCATTCAATTTAGAAATGCCTCGTCAGGTTATGATTAAACAAGTACGCAATTTGGTCAACAATATTGAAAAAGAAAAATGTTGCATAACACTAGATTCTAGAATTCGAGATTTGATTAATAAACACCAAGAAATTTCGGAAGAGAATCAAGATTCTAAACATGCTTTGGATATTCGAAGTATTAATTTGGATGATATGCAATTGTCAGAAAATATTCTACGAAAAGAGTCGAAGCAAGATTTAATATTAAAAAAAGTAGCCATACATATTCAGCAAAGTTGGCGAAACTTTGATCGTTATAAAGATAAAGAAATAGTTAATTTTTATAATCGACGGGAAGAGCTTTCTGTCGATCGTGATATTATAGAATGGAATGGGAGATTGGTTATTCCTAATAAATTAAGAAATGCAGTGTTAGGAATGATTCACCGGGGACATCCTGGGGAAAATGCAATGAAATCTATTTTTAGATTGTATTGCTGGTGGCCCAGATGTGATGTTGATATAGAAAATTTTATCAAAATATGTTCTGGATGCCAGAAAAATAGACCTAGTATTCAAGAAGTACCTCTATATTCTTGGACTGTTGGAAAGGAACCTTGGGAGCGAATCCATATTGATTTTGCTGGACCAGTAGATTCGCGATACTGGCTAATAGGTGTCGATTCCTATTCCAAATGGTTAGAAGTTGATCTAATGCAAAATACCTCTGCTGATGCTATGATAAAACGACTAAAAAAATGGTTTGCTAGGTTTGGAATACCCAAGTACATTGTGTCAGACAATGGACCACAATTCTTATCTGGGGAATTCCGTAGGTATTGTGATTTAAATAACATACGTCATATACGTTCAGCACCCTATCATCCAAAAACTAACGGATTAGCTGAACGTACAGTACGAACTTTGAAAGGTCGGTATTATGCAACGAGAGATTCAATTAGCGATCCCGAAGAAGCTATGACACAGGTTTTAACAACCTACCGATTGGGAGAGCATAGTTCCACAGGGAGATCTCCTGCTAAAATTATGTTTGGGAGGCAATTGAAAACAAGTCTGGATTGGATCCGACCAAATGCCGAACACGAAATAGTAAGGGCTAATGATAAACAAAGCCTTCATCATGATTTACATTCAAAGGAAAGAGAATTTGAAATCTCACAACCTATATGGTTAAATAATGAAAATATCAATGGTTGGAGAGAGGGAGTAATTAAAGAAAGAATAGGACTTTATTCTTATATTGTTGAATCTTCCGGGAAAACATTACGGAAGCATGCAGATCAGTTAAGAAATCGTTTAGTTATCCCAAATCATGAAAGTTCTTTGGAAGTTACAGAAATGGTTGTGCCAGTGAATGAAGCAAATACAAACACAAATACAAATACCACATCACGTTGCTCATCAAGAAACCGTAAACCTACAAAGAGGTTTATTGAAGAAATCTAACTTTAAATTGTTTGAAGGAAATGTAATAAATTAATAAATGATTATTTATGTATATTGTATATTAAAACAGAATCGAACATTCGAAAAATAATAAATAAAAATTTGATATCAAAAATAAATTAAAATATAAATCAGTGGTCGTATTGTTTATAATTAGTAGTTGGTATTACTACATAAAGGATAACTTAAATTAATCTATCTCTACTACCAACTATCGATATTTTGTAAATATATAGAATATTTTTTAGATAATTAATTCAATTAAACCTCCATTATTTACTATGAATTCATTATTATAACATTATGAGCTTGCTGAAATATCTAAACCTTTTAAATTATATTTAAAAAGATAGCAGAATGTTTTATTTGAAAAACAATGTGTATGATTGTTTGCAGTATATAGATTTGGCCTTCAGAAATTTATAACTTTTTGTGAATATCATTTTAAGCTAATAAAAAATATCCCCCTTAGTCTTCCTCTAACTCCCTGACCCCCCAAAATGTATGCATTTATCTTAAACTATTTTT